ATTCGCATCCGTTGCAGAGGAGTGATATGTTGGGCCCATTGCTCCTCGATTCGGCTGGCGGCGGACAACCCGGGGCGAGTGGTGGTCAAGGGCATGGGCACACCGCAATAAGCGGTACCGCCGTCGAGGCTTTCTCAATCGCCGGCTTCCCTTCGTCAGCACAAGGAGTAGGCTCGAGCACTGGATCGTCTGGCATACAGCAAGATCCTGACCCCATGCTTGAGCTGGTCTTCTCAGGATGGCCGACAGACTTCCCTCCACCACAAACCGTAGACTTGCTGTAAGTGTCAGTGACCTAGTGTGCGGTTGCATCGCCCCTTTCTTAACATCTCGGACCTATCGCAGCGTCAACATCTTCTTTGAGAATTTCCCATTCCTGCACATCTTCCATCCCGGACGCTTCCTCAATGCCTTGATGCTCGGGCCTCATTCTCCACGCTACCCACACCCCTCAGCTTTGCATGCCATGTTTGCTCTGGTGAGCTATCCTTGAACGCGGGTCTTCCGTTAGACTCGCTTTGCTGATGCCAGCCCTGTCACGCGTAGTCATACACCCTGCGGCCCGACCTTGATCCGGTTGCGCAGTCTAGGCGAGCCAATCCGCAGCCGCTCGCCGGCTCACATGGCGCGCAGAAGAGCATCTACGACATTCACCGATCTAGGGGGGGCAGCGCGGACTACCACACAGCACGCTGTCAGCATCACATATTCCATGGCACTTTCCACGGCGGCAATCTCTACGACATTGCACGGGCAGCTTGTCTGCTATGCAATAAGAAATACGCTTGCGGTGATCTGCTTGAAGCTTGGATGCACGCAGGGCACAGCACTCGCTTGATGGTGGCCCTCAATATCAATCGAGAGCGCAGCAGAAGCACCCCATCACTGGGTCAGCCAATCGAGATCACAAGAATGATCGTCAATGCCAGTCCGAAAGACTGGGTGGAAGAAGAGGAACGTCGTCGAGCTATGTTCTCTGTTTTGGCAACGTGAGTGAAGCATTGCGGTTCTTGAGAGCTCGTTTGACTAGGCTAATAAGCGCGAGACTGCCGCAACAGAGATCGAAGCGCTGCAGCAACCACGCTGTGGGCTAGCAGCTTGGCCGAAGCGGATGTCGACT